ATGAAACTTACCTGACATCTCATATATTGATCGATCCATAACCAAAAGCTAAACAAATTTCTTAAGTTTGATAACATCAAGCATATCTAAAGTACCAGATATTGATGCATCTATAATAAGATAAGCAATAAAGTTATTAAATTCAGTGTCATTAAACGTTCTCAAATTCTATATATTGGTCAACCTATAATAAAAAAGAACGAAATAGATTAAATTTCAGGAAATGGAACTTACCCGAAATTCCATATATTAGTCATTCTATAATAATAAAAAAATAATTGATTAATTTGTTTTCTAAGATTGAACTTACCCGTATTTTGGATATTTGAATGAACCTGTAACTGAAAATGAATAAGTTTATTTTATTTGTTCTTATTTTATAAATTCAAACTTACAGTTGATTGATAAGACGATGGAAATTCAAAATTTGAGAAAACATGCTTTTTCAACGATTTATATACGGTTGGATAGAGCTCATCAAACTGTATAAGAAAAGCTATTTTAAATTTTTTTGCTTCCTTAATTTCAACAAAAAAAATCAAAATACTTTTAGAGTTTCATCCCATACAAAAATTGCTTACTTCTCACAAATGATGTTTCCTTCTGTTTTCTTCATCTTCACAGGTTTATGAATACTGTTTTATTAATCAACGTAAAAAACTAACTATATTCCGTCACTTTAAAATAACAGATTAGAGTCAGTCTTTTACGCTGATTAATAAAATAATATTCATAAACTTGTGAATATGAAGAAAATAGAGAAGAAAACATCGCTTGCGAGGGGTAAGCAATTTTTATATAGGATGAAGCTCTGAAAGTATTTTGATTTCTTTTATTAAAATAAAGGAAGCAAAAATTTTCAAAAGTAGATTTGATTACTCAGTTGGATGAGCTCTATCCAACCATGTATAATTTGTTGAAAAAACATTTTGCTCAAATTTTGAATTTTTCGGCAACTTTTTTTGTATTTGTTTGACTGCTGGACATCTTGTTCAGGAAGGTCTCTATATTATATTAACCGTTTCCCGATTTCCTAAATAATCTTCATGTTTTCTGTATCGTTATTCGAATTCTGTCGTGGTTTGATTGTTTACTTTGATTTGTTTTTGTGAAGTATGCATGGTCATTTCTTGAAGGCGTTTTTGTGAACCTTACAAATGTCAATGATAAACTTTGCTGAGACTTTTATACTATTGTGGAAATACGTATTCTGAAATAAGACCCCTACTAAAGCTAATACTGAAGTTTTCGTTATTAACAGAAAGCAAACCATGTTTTCAATAGTGCTCTGAACTGCATTCCCATTCGTACGAAGTATACGAAAATTTGACATAGATAATAAAGTGGTGAAGAGTTAAGTACAAAAAATGCGAAACCTAGACACTATCTACGAAACCAGCAGTGGTTCCGCCGACATATTACTAAACCTTAAAGCGGGGTAGAAAGTGTCGGAAAGTTCCGCACAAATAATTCCAAACCTTCGCATCCTCTACCAAACCATCAACTGTTTCGTAGAAATTATTCCAAACCTTTCGACAGTTTCCTGAACCATCAGTAGTTCCGTCGATATTTTACGAAACTTTAAAGCCAACCAGAAAGTGTCGAAAAGTTTTGCACAAATAATACCAAACCTTCGGATCGTTAACGGAACCATCAATGGTTTCGTACAAAATATTCGAAACCTTTCTTTCGATAACGAAACCAACAGTGGTTCCGTCGCCATATGACGAATCCTTCTGTCATGGTACGAAACTATCAGAGGATTGGTATGTGATGTACCAAACCACAAACCACTTTACGGAACCTCCGAAAAGTTCCGTCGCAAAATCGCGAAACCTTATGAAATCTGCTGAACTTAAAAAAGTTCTGAAAGGAAACCACGAAACGATTTGCGCTCCGCAGAACTTAAAATAGTTCGGTGCAGAAATGCAGAACTTCTAAGGTTCGGTAGAGTACCGATTTTTTTTTAGAGTGTAAGAGATGATAGAATATTACTAGATATAGCAATTCCGGAATTGCTAGAAATTCCTAGTAATTTCTACCGATTCCGGTTTCGTTCAATTCCGGAATTCCGTTGCGGAATTGGATCATCATTAGATCGATAAGAGATGATAGAATCGTACTAGATATAGCAATTCCGGAATCCCTAGGAATTGCTAGAAATTCCTAGGAATTCCTGCCGATTCCGGTTTCATTCAATTTCGGAATTTCGTTTCGAAATTGGATCATTGTTAGATCGATAAGAGATGATAGAATAAAACTAGATATAGCAATTCCGGAATTCCTAGTAATTCCTACCAATTCCGATTTCATTCGATTCCAAAATCAGACGGAGCTGTGAGGAGTTGCTTGTATTTGCTGTAATCGATTCCGGAATTCCTAGAAGTTGTTAGAATGGATTCCGGAATTGAATGTCGTGCAGCGTGGATGTGATTCCGGAATCGTTGGAATGGATTCCTGGGGCGGAACTGATTCCGAAATGTGCAACATCGCGGAATAGGATGACTGCTCACATTTTAGAGATTTTTCTTCAAATAATTAGTAAAAAAATGTTTGGGAGCTATGTTCCCCTAAGGAAATATCGAAAGAATTGTTTTTTCTAGATTCAAATGGAATGTATTGCCGTGTAGGGATGACCCTTTATCTGTACTATCCTTTATAATAAAGAATAAAGATAAATGAATCCTTTACTATTAAAAAACACAGATAAATGGAACCTTTATTTTTAAAAAATAAATGAAAATGAATCATTTATGTTTAAAAAATAAAATAAAAACAAAGGAATAAATGATACTTTTTACGATAGATAATAGGATTGAAAAAGCACTAGAATCATGGAATAAATATACAGAGAGATTATTATCGCTTCAAAATGTAATTTGATTAAAAATTCTCTTCCTATGATGAAATTTAAAAACAACAGGAATAAATACTTCTGATTTTGGTAGAGTAGTAAGAAACAGAAAATGCTTCTTATAACACTCTAATTTGATCAAAGGCTTCTTATATATTCAGACATCTTTTTGAAGCTTTATTTTTAGAATTATAGAATGTCTCAATTGATCCAATGATCACTTAATCTTCATATCTATAAATAGAATTTCTTTATAATTTTGAATTTCACTTTTAGCTATCTACATTCTTGCTCAATATAATCTATATTTTATTATCTTTGTCAAAATAGTTGCTCAATAGAAGTTGTAGAACATTTTTTTCAAATAAGTATAAAATAGATAATTTTATTTTCACAAAGAGTAATTCTTTTCTTCAGTTACTGAAAAAAATCTTGATGATGCTCTGAAAAAAATAAAGGAGCTTTCCAGAACTATTTTTGGTTGTGCAGCACTTGCTGAACCATTTTTAGTTCTGTACGGCAATTGAAAAACCGTAAAGAGTTTTGTGGAATCATATTGAACTATGAAAGGTTCTGCCTACTAGCTCAGAACAATAAAGGATTCTGTCATACAATACTAAACCATAGAAGGTTTTTAGTGGAACCATGCTAAACCCAGTAGATTCTGTCGTATGCATGTAGACTGCAAAGGGTTTTGTCCACAGACAGTGAACCATTGAAAGTTACAGATTCGATTATACGAAAAAAAACGGTTCTGTCCAACGATCCTAAACTGTATAGGGTTTTGTCTGTTAAATCCTGAACCATAGAGAGTTCTCTGTCATGGTACATGAACCCATAAGGTTCCGCACTCGATTACTGAATCATGATGGGTTCTGCCTCTAGAGACCTGCGGAGTCAATCTTTTTTGACTCCGACTCCGACTTCGAAATGTTTTTCCTATGTAACTCCGACTCCGACTCCTGAGTTTTTTTTTCTAAATGACTCCGACTCCGACTCCGAAAGTATTTTTATGAATAACTCCGACTCCGACTCCGAAAAACTCCGAAAATTTTTCCTATTGTAGATCAGCGGCAGCTCACATGTATGGAGATGTTATGTAATTTAAAGTTAGTTTACCATCACAATTCAAGTCTGATTGGCGATTATTGTGCATGAATAAATAGATATGCAAAATATTAGATAAAAAAACTAAAGCTGATTAAATTTTCAACCTCTTTTTAAATATTAAATATAAAGGGTGGTCACAAATTTTCGACCCATGTCTCCAGATTGGCGTTATTTACATGAAATACAGTCTGATGCAAAATTATAAGACCACTACTTTTAGAACTTAGGAAAGTCAGATCGAGCTGATTTTTTGAAATTAAAGACATTGATACATGTGTACGCAGTTAGTGAAATTTCATGAGTTTATTGCTTATGTTTTATCTTTTTTTGAATCTATGCAGTTTATAGTGGTGCAAAATTATAAGACCAGATCAAATGAGATACAAAAAAAATAACTCAAAATGCCGATCAATATCGTGTCTTTGCACCATGTAACTTAATAACTTCAAATAATCTGTCAGGCATTGAGTTGACTAAATCTCGAAGTTGATCAATGCTAATTTCTTTTCACGATCGGAGTATGGCAACTTTTAACTGTTCTTTCGTCCTAAATTGCTTTCCTTCAGCATAAACCTTCCTTGATAATATTCCCCACAGATTTTCGATGGGGTTTAAGTCGGGAGATAATGATGGCCACGGTAAAACATTAATTTTTTGCGACTTGAACCAAGCAAGATTGACTTTTGCCCGGTGAACCGGCGCATTATCTTGTTGAAAAATCCAATTAGATCCTCCAATAGTATTGCCAATGTCAACTAGATGATTTTTTAGTACTTCTCGATATCCATTTGAATTCATTCGCCCATTTATGAAGCATATTGAACTTTTACCACCCCAGCCAAACGATGCCCAAGTCATAACACTGCCACCACCTTGAGCACGCGTTGAAAATATCTCTTCTTCTTTACGTAGATCATGCCAATAGTAAGAAAAACCATCAGGACCATCCAAATTAAATTTCTTCTCGTCCGACCAAACAACTTTATGCCATTCGTTATTCCAGGTCATATGATCTTTGGCCCAGATTAATCGTAAATCTTTGTGTGCAGTTGTTAAAGCAGGAGAGCGCTTCTTTTTCATCTTTTTCAAGATATTTGATCTTTTGATGACTCGATTGATTGTCCATCGCGACATTTTCAAACTTAAATCGGCAATAATATTGGCACAAGATATTGACTTGTTACTAGCAGTTCTTAAAATAAGCCGTTTGGTGCGCTCATCGACCTTTTTTCTACGACCTGTTCGTTTTCTTGTGCCGTATTTAAGCGGATCTTTCAAAAAATTTGTTATCACAGTCTTCGATCGGTTAATTTTGTTAGCACTATCTCGATGAGACTTGTTTTTCTGGTGTAGGTCTAAAATAGACCTTTTCTCGCTTTCCGTCAACTGTATTGCTTTGGGCATACTTTAGCGTAAATATGAAATGTTATCTGATTTGTTAATTTTACTTAAAGTTACTCGTGATTCGTTTCTTACTATAAACCTATCACGTGGTCTTATAATTATGCATCACAAAAATGGAGGCAATTCTATATATATATGAAAATAATAGGACTGGTGCTTCAAAATTTTACATCGGTATTCTTATGACTCACTTGCGTCATATCACTCAAAATAGGGTTCATTTGATTAAGCTTAGTTTAAAAACAAGTGGTCTTATAATTATGCACCAGACTGTACATATATAGACAGTTGATCAAAGTATACAATTTTGTAGAGAATGATTAGAGCTATTATCTGAAAACAGTTAGTTCAAACTGTCGGACTAATCAAAAGTTGTAGTCATTTTATTGATCATGACTATGCATTTTCCATCTTACATTTTTTGTAAACACAGAAATATTTTTATAAAGTTTGAAGAGAATTATTGCTTTCTAGATAATTTTATATGTTTGGAGATAGTTTGTCAATTTCTTCAAGAATATGAATATCACAAAGAGTTCTAATCCTATTTCTTGTATAAAACTTGGAGGAAATTAGAAAAAAATAATAAAAATCTCACATATCTTGCATTAGAGAGAGCATGCTTAACTTTGGCTAACTTTATTTGATCGATTGTTCGTCTGTTCTTGATGCTGAGAAAAATCACTGTCACTCTTAGTATGTGACAACACACCTCGAAACATAAATTGACAGACAAAAAAGTTGATCTATTGAAGTTACTGATAGTTAAGTATACTCTTTCAATGCATGATATATCAGATTTTCAATAGTCTTTCTGACTTTCCTCAAGCTTTGTATTGGAGAGCGAATTAGAATTTTTTCTAACATCTATATTCTTGTAGAGCTAGTCAAATTCTATGGAACCATATAAAAATAACTAAAAGAAAACAGACAGCAAACAATATTTTGACTGATCTTAACAACTCAACGAGTACAAGAATACTTTTGTTTTTACAAAAAATGTAAGATAGAAAATGCATAGTCATGATTAATAAAATGACTATAACTTTTGATTAGTTCGACACAGTTTGAACGAACTGTTTTCAGATAATAGCTCTAATCATTCTCTACAAAATTGTATACTTCGATCAACTGTCTATATATGTATTTCATGTAAATAACGTCAATCTAGAGACAGGAATCGAAATTTTGTGACCACTCTTTATTTGGAATAACTGCGAAGCTCTTGTCATGAGAAGAAATTGCAAGTCTAATTAAATAAGAAAATGGATCCATCAAAGTAGTACCTAAGAAAGACGATAAAATACAAGTGAAGTTTGGGATAATTTCCACCAAGTTTTCGTTTACTTGACGTTACTATTTTGAAAAATAATGTTATTTAAGAAAAGAAAAAAACTTTTCGGAGTCTACCAAATTTTACATCAACTCCGACACCGACTCCGAAAAAAAAGTTTGACTCCGGCTCGACTCCGACTCCGAAAAAATCTTGGTTTTCAATTCCGACACCGACTCCGACTCCGCCGGAGTCGGAGTCAGAGTCATTTTTCGGAGTCTATTGCAGGTCTCTATCTGCCTCCCAATGCTGAACTATAAATGATTCTGTCTATTGATTTCTAAAGTTTAAAAAGTTGTGAGCGAAATTACATTGAACCGAAAGGGTTCAGCCGATTATGGCTGAAACATAAGTACCAAGTTTTTCATTCGATGACACTAAATCAGAAAAAGGTTTTGTCCAAGAATGAGGAACTTCAAAAGTTGTTTTCAATAATACTAAACGCGCAAAGATTTTGTTTAATAGTTCTGAAAAAAAATACTCATATTCTGCAGAACGTCTCGGTGGTTCACTAAAGATAAGAGGTCCGAAAAACATTTAGCAGCAGATATATATGAGGCTTCGCGTTAAGATTTGATTCAAAAACTTCGAAGTAGAACTATCTTTCTCAAGTAGGCTTTAGGATAATTGGACAGAACCATTTTCTTAAATATGGTTCAGAATATATTAGACAGAACCACTTTCTCATCGTTTTTTCTTTCTTTCTTTTCCTCGATCTGTTATTATACATTCTTTAACGAATAAGTCTTCATGATGGAGAACGTTATTTGTTTTTCTTCCCATGAATTACGAAGAGCGAAAGAATTTTCGGTCCCCATTTAATCTATTGAAGCTGTTTGCTTATTAGTTCTTTTAGATATATATTTCAAAATATCATCATCCTATCGAAATATTTCACCAATTGATCATAATATCCATATCACGATTATATATGTATATATAGATATATTAGTTCATTCATTTACGTTTAATTTTATTGGTTGTTTAAGGACTACATTGAAAAAAATATCATTTGATTAAAATATTTTATATTTGATTATCATATCATTATCACAATTATATATATAGGTATATCAGTTCATTCATTTACGTTTAGTCTTATTGTTTTTTTTTAGGACTATATTGAAAAAAATATCATTTGATTAAAATATTTTATATTTGATTATTATATCATTATCACTATTATATATATATGTATAGGTATATTAGTTCATTCGTTTACGTTTAATCTTATTATCTGTTTTAGGACCAGATTTGAAAAAAATATCATTTGATTAAAATATTGTGTATTTGATTATCTATGATTGTCACGATTATATACATATATATGGATGAATTGCAACTTTATTGTACCGTTTTGAGAAAAAAATCGATGAAAAAAAAATTTCCGATTTTAGAGATTGGGAGTAGTGCATCTTACTACACTATATGAGAGATGGATATGAATAAATTTTCCCGACTACCACTGTTAAATTGAGTATAGATCGTGTATTCGCATCTTTCACAGCAAATTTATTAAATCGTGAGGAATGTGTTAGAATTAGTTCGCGTGAGTAGCAGGGCTCGAACTGGGCCACTATTTTCTGGCCCGGTCCGGCCCAAAGCGGCCCATCAAATCTGCAGCCCACCAGGCCCAACTTGTCGTGTTTTCGGCCCGGCCCGGCCTGGCCCACCAAATTTGTCGGCCCGCCCGGCCCGGCCCGGCCTAGGCCCAACGAAATTAGTTTTAGAAAATATTTTTTGCAGAACTGATTATAACAATAAATGTCGTATTTCAAAAGAAATTTCCGTAGTATACATCAATAATTTATTGATGAATTTAATGACATTGGATCATTAATGTAATAACGAAAAAAGAAATTAGCAAGTACCACGAAAAACTATTAGATGTAGAACCAGTGAAAATAATACACTACACATGAAAAAAATCAATATTTATCTGAGAAAAGATTAGGGTTATTCATTAATGGTTTTTGTATG